GGCTGTCCTCCTCCCCAAGAAGACCGAGAAGGCCCAGGCCTAAATTACTCGCCGTCATTGAAAAAACGGCCCTTTTCAGGGCCACCATATATTAAGGGATCAAACGCTGAAAACAATTTTAAATGTATTTTTAATATATACATATATATGCAGTCGAATCTAGGCTCGATTAAAAAAACGATTAGGAATTTTCGGTGATCTATACATCTATTAAAAGCGTACGTTTGCCCACGCACAGATATAAAAGCCTTAGAAGGGAAAGTCTCGATTTCAGCGGGCAAATGTTTATTCTTTTGATTGTGTCAGAAAATTTTTGGCGCGGAACACGTAACTCACTGTTGTTGAGTTGGCCACAGAAGCTGTACTTTTCAACAGTGTTTGCACTCTAATTTAGGACAATAAGAAGGGTATGCTTTGACTTTCATAATGTTTTTTGATTCCGCTACAGCTATTGTTTAACACTAAACCGACTACTAGCGGTTAATTTGATCGTCCGCAATTTTTTTCACTAGTTTATGTATTTAAATATTATCGCATCGCCATCGAAGATCCACGTTTAATTACAAAAAAAAATTTTAAATCGCCCATTTTCGTGAGCGACGATTGAGATCGATATACAAGAAGTGTTGGTAGGTCTACTGCTAAAACGACTTCTAAAGGTCTCTAGTTAACTTCGCTGAATTAGCGGTTGCATGGTTTCACAATCCTGCCTGATTATTTGGCACATTTGCCAATTCGTGAATATTAATACGTTTCTGATACGGTGGTTGTGTGCTATTTGATTATTTTCTGCTTTAATAACGATGCTAATATTTCTTAATATATTGTGAGGCCTTGTGTAACCGAAATTAATAAAATTAGGTCAGCATGTTTAAACGTTTTTGACCTCGTTGGATTTGGTGGCCCTGAAAAGGGCCGTTTTTTTTTGATAGGGCAAGTTGATGTTTAGCCGCCGAAACCATAAAGGGTACGTCCCTGCCTCTTGAGGGCGTAGACGACGTCCATGGCGGTGACAGTCTTCCTTTTGGCGTGCTCGGTGTAGGTGACAGCGTCACGGATGACGTTTTCAAGGAATACTTTAAGAACACCCCGAGTCTCTTCGTAGATCAGACCAGAGATACGCTTGACACCGCCACGGCGAGCGAGACGGCGAATTGCTGGCTTGGTGATACCTTGAATGTTATCACGAAGAACTTTACGGTGACGTTTGGCACCTCCCTTTCCGAGTCCTTTACCTCCCTTGCCACGTCCAGACATTACGGCTCGGATTCGTTCTCAATCAAGCTGAAAAAACAGAGTGCCGCTTCTACTTGCGGTGCTCTTATTTATAGCCAGCAAAAGCACTATATGTGCTGGCGCTGCAATCGCTAACTGTAGACACTCAATGGCGCCAATCATGAGCATCAATAGCTTCCTTCCTCTTCTAAGGGCTCCAAGTGTCTGTTGTTTAAAAAAGTGCTAGAATCGAGGAGAGCATTTATTCGGTTCTAAAATTATCACCATTAGGTTTTTAGAATGTATTGGTGTATATGGATTCAACAGGTGGATTCCATTGGTCGGGAGATTTAGAGCAATGAGCTCATTTAATTGCATGCTTACTGTGGATCTATGTGCTACAAAAAATAGGTAGGCAGAGGAACATAAAACTGTGTTTTCGTGACAGTCTTAGCACTTTTTATCCTCTGTGTAACGATTAAAACTATATCAGTAGTAATAGATCGGAAAATGAAGGTTGCATGACGTATGTCTATTGAAACCTGTGTAAAGTTATCTTTTCATGTCAAATCATAAAAATGCATACACAGATCATATAAAAATTAATTAATGTTTGTTTTAAATTACATTTTCTATCGGACCTTCAAGTTAATTGCCATAGTCAACATAAACTCTCAGGTGAATATGATCGGATGCTTCTTTCAGCGGCGTCCCGCTAGAGGGCGTTGCCCATTTATCGAACTCCCCTTTCCTAAACGCTATATAAGTCCAAAACTCGAGGCTCTGTCTTCAACATTTGTTGTTAACAGACAGTCAAAAATGGCGCGTACTAAGCAGACCGCCCGTAAGTCCACTGGCGGAAAGGCTCCCCGTAAGCAGCTTGGCCACCAAGGCCGCCCGTAAATCTGCTCCAGCTACAGGCGGTGTAAAAAAACCCCATCGTTACAGGCCTGGTACCGTCGCTCTCCGTGAGATCCGTCGTTACCAGAAATCGACTGAGCTTCTCATTCGCAAGCTGCCCTTCCAACGTCTTGTGCGCGAGATTGCTCAGGATTTCAAAACCGATCTGCGTTTCCAGAGCTCGGCGGTATGGCTCTCCAGGAGGCGTCCGAGGCTTATCTGGTCGGTCTCTTTGAAGACACCAATCTATGCGCCATCCATGCCAAACGTGTCACCATTATGCCTAAGGACATCCAACTGGCTCGTCGTATCCGCGGAGAGCGCGCTTAAGTTACTGGAATCTTTACTTCAGTAAGAAAAAAACGGCCCTTTTCAGGGCCACCAACATCTAGAAGATCATGCGCTTTACTGTGCATTCTCAAATAATTAAATATACTTTTGCAGACCATTTACATATTAAGTAACTGGTAGTTTATAGATGAGTGATGAATATGTCTGCTCAATATATTGCGGGCAAATTTCCAGTCAACCGCAAAGCATCATCAATTGTCGAAAACTGCTTAATTTGAATAAAATAGTATTTTGGAAAAAATGTGAAAGAAGAGCCAGAGGGACTTGTAGAAAAATCCAGGAGAGCAAACTTAGTCACATGGAAAGACACTATAAGACGTAAATTTTGAGTTTTTCGTTCGTTGCTGCCGTTAAGGATTCTTTTGGATGACCTCAACGACAAAATTACGTGATCTGCTCTTGGTCTCTATAATACACCACCTCATGGGTTTACACCCCCAGTGCACCGTTATGGCTACACAAGAGATATACCTATGCGCACCAAACTTGCCTACGTTCTCAAAGTACGGCACCTTTTAAGTACGTCGTAAATAACGGAGTAAATAAATTATTATTTGAAAATTTTGCTACCGTTTGTTGTAATCCGCGATCGACGAGAGTGACAGATGTGGTGCATTTATGTCATAATTTCGCTGTTTCTTAGCTCAAGGGAAGGCTTAGTATTTTTAATTTACATAAGTCAACTGATATAACCTTCGATTGTATTCAAGTAAGTGGTAATGAAACAAGAACTGGCAACTATGTTAACGCTGATAATACGCCTCATAGATGAGTACGATAAGCTATAGGTGAAACGCAAAATTATAGCAGCTACATGTAACGATTCTGCCTAAGTAATTGATCTTTCATAATTTGGTGGCCCTGAAAAGGGCCGTTTTTTGGTGATACCCGAAGGCATATATGTGTGGTGGAGAAATTACTTGGAGGAAGTGTACTTGGTGACAGCTTTGGTTCCCTCAGACACGGCGTGTTTGGCCACTCACCAGGGAGCAGAGCCTGACGGCGGTCTGAACCTCCCGAGAGGTGATGGTCGATCTCTTGTTGTAGTGCGAGAGACGGGAGGCCTCGGCAGCGATTCTCTCGAAAATGTCGTTTACGAATGAGTTCATAATCGACATGGCCTTCGACGAGATACCAGTGTCGGGGTGGACTTGCTTAAGGACCTTGTAAATGTAGATAGAAAAGGACTCCTTCCTTCTACGCTTCTTCTTTTTTTTGTCCGTAGCACGGACGTTCTTCTGGGCCTTCCCGGCCTTCTTAACAGCCTTTCCGGACGGTGCAGGCGGCATAACTTCGGTAATGAAACCAAGTAATTCACCTTGAGTTGATGCCTACTATTTATTGCCAGCTCGCAGTGCCATTTTGGCGCCATATCATGAGCACTCTCCCAATAAGAGAGGAGGTAGTCTCCAGTCGGAGCCCACTCTAAATGTATATATAGCCATTACTCTACAGCAAAACTGCTACTTGTTTATTCGTAACTGAACGTCATCATGTCTGGTCGCGGAAAGGGAGGAAAGTCAAAAACGAAGGCTAAGACCAGGTCTTCGCGGGCAGGACTTCAGTTCCCCGTCGGTCGTACCATCGTCTGCTTCGTAAGGGCAACTACGCTGAGCGAGTTGGGGCGGGCGCCCCTGTGTACCTAGCTGCCGTTCTTGAGTACCTTGCTGCTGAGGTCCTTGAGTTGGCCGGTAACGCTGCTCGTGACAACAAAAAGACTAGGATTATCCCCCGTCACCTTCAGTTAGCTATCCGTAACGACGAGGAGTTGAACAAGCTTCTTTCAGGAGTGACCATTGCCCAGGGTGGCGTCCTACCCAATATCCAGGCTGTCCTCCTCCCCAAGAAGACCGAGAAGGCCCAGGCCTAAATTACTCGCCGTCATTGAAAAAACGGCCCTTTTCAGGGCCACCATATATTAAGGGATCAAACGCTGAAAACAATTTTAAATGTATTTTTAATATATACATATATATGCAGTCGAATCTAGGCTCGATTAAAAAAACGATTAGGAATTTTCGGTGATCTATACATCTATTAAAAGCGTACGTTTGCCCACGCACAGATATAAAAGCCTTAGAAGGGAAAGTCTCGATTTCAGCGGGCAAATGTTTATTCTTTTGATTGTGTCAGAAAATTTTTGGCGCGGAACACGTAACTCACTGTTGTTGAGTTGGCCACAGAAGCTGTACTTTTCAACAGTGTTTGCACTCTAATTTAGGACAATAAGAAGGGTATGCTTTGACTTTCATAATGTTTTTTGATTCCGCTACAGCTATTGTTTAACACTAAACCGACTACTAGCGGTTAATTTGATCGTCCGCAATTTTTTTCACTAGTTTATGTATTTAAATATTATCGCATCGCCATCGAAGATCCACGTTTAATTACAAAAAAAGAAATTTAAATCGCTCATTTTCGTGAGCGACGATAGAGATCGATATACGAGAAGCGTTGGTAGGTCTATTGTTAAAACCACTTCTAAAAGTCTCTAGTTAACTTCGCTGAATTAGCGGTTGCATGGTTTTACAATCTTGCCTGATTATTTGACACATTCGTCGATTCATGAATATTAATACGTTTCTGATGCGATGGTCGTGTGCTATTCGACTCTGATCTTCTTTAATAACGATGCTAATATTTTTTAACATATTGTGAGGCCTTGTGTAAACGACATCAATAAAATTAGGTCAGTTTGCTTAAACGTTTTCGACCTCGTTGGATTTAGTGGCCCTGAAAAGGGCCGTTGTTTTTTGATAGGGCAAGTTGTTGTTTAGCCGCCGAAACCGTAAAGGGTACGTCCCTGCCTCTTGAGGGCGTAGACGACGTCCATGGCGGTGACAGTCTTCCTTTTGGCGTGCTCGGTGTAGGTGACAGCGTCACGGATGACGTTTTCAAGGAATACTTTAAGGACACCCCGAGTCTCTTCGTAGATCAGACCAGAGATGCGCTTGACACCACCACGGCGAGCGAGGCGGCGAATGGCTGGCTTGGTGATACCTTGAATGTTATCACGAAGAACTTTACGGTGACGTTTGGCACCTCCCTTTCCGAGTCCTTTACCTCCCTTGCCACGTCCAGACATTACGGCTGGATTCGTTCTCAATAAGCTGACAAAAAAGAGTGTCGCTTCTACTTGCGGTGCTCTTATTTATAGCCAGCAAAAGCACTATATGTGCTGGCGCTGCAATCGCTAACTGTAGACCTTCAATGGCGCCAATCATGAGCATCAATAGCTTATCTTCCTCTTCTAAGGGCTCCAAGTGTCTGTTGTTTAAAAAAGCGCTAGAATCGAGGAGAGCATTTATTCGGTTCTAAAATTATCACCATTAGGTTTTTAGAATGTATTGGTGTATATGGATTCAACAGGTGGATTCCATTGGTCGGGAGATTTAGAGCAATGAGCTCATTTAATTGCATGCTTACTGTGGATCTATGTGCTACAAAAAAATATAGGTAGGCAGAGGAACATAAAACTGTGTTTTCGTGACAGTCTTAGCACTTTTTATCCTCTGTGTAACGATTAAAACTATATCAGTAGTAATAGATCGGAAAATGAAGGTTGCATGACGTATGTCTATTGAAACCTGTGTAAAGTTATCTTTTCATGTCAAATCATAAAAATGCATACACAGATCATATAAAAATTAATTAATGTTTGTTTTAAATTACATTTTCTATCGGACCTTCAAGTTAATTGCCATAGTCAACATAAACTCTCAGGTGAATATGATCGGATGCTTCTTTCAGCGGCGTCCCGCTAGAGGGCGTTGCCCATTTATCGAACTCCCCTTTCCTAAACGCTATATAAGTCCAAAATCAGGCTCTGTCTTCAACATTTGTTGTTAACAGACAGTCAAAAATGGCGCGTACTAAGCAGACCGCCCGTAAGTCCACTGGCGGAAAGGCTCCCCGTAAGCAGTGGCCACCAAGGCCGCCCGTAAATCTGCTCCAGCTACAGGCGGTGTAAAAAAACCCCATCGTTACAGGCCTGGTACCGTCGCTCTCCGTGAGATCCGTCGTTACCAGAAATCGACTGAGCTTCTCATTCGCAAGCTGCCCTTCCAACGTCTTGTGCGCGAGATTGCTCAGGATTTCAAAACCGATCTGCGTTTCCAGAGCTCGGCGGTCATGGCTCTCCAGGAGGCGTCCGAGGCTTATCTGGTCGGTCTCTTTGAAGACACCAATCTATGCGCCATCCATGCCAAACGTGTCACCATTATGCCTAAGGACATCCAACTGGCTCGTCGTATCCGCGGAGAGCGCGCTTAAGTTACTGGAATCTTTACTTCAGTAAGAAAAAAACGGCCCTTTTCAGGGCCACCAACATCTAGAAGATCATGCGCTTTACTGTGCATTCTCAAATAATTAAATATACTTTTGCAGACCATTTACATATTAAGTAACTGGTAGTTTATAGATGAGTGATGGATATGTCTGCTCAATGTATTGCGGGCAAATTTCCAGTCAACCGCAAAGCATCATCAATTGTCGAAAACTGCTTAATATGAATAAAATAGTATTTTGGAAAAAATGTGAAAGAAGAGCCAGAGGAACTTGTAGAAAAATCCAGGAGAGCAAACTTAGTCACATGTAATACACCACCTCATGGGTTTACACCCCAGTGCGCACCGTTATGGGTACACAAGAGTTATACCTATGCGCACCAAACTTGCCTATGTTCTCGAGACACGGCACCTTTTAAGTACGTCGTAAATAACACAGTAAGTAAATAAATTATTATTTGAAAATTTTGCTACCGTTTGTTGTAATCGCGATCGACGAGAGTGACAGATGTGGTGCATTTATGTCATAATTTCGCTGTTTCTTAGCTCAAGGGAAGGCTTAGTATTTTTAATTTACATAAGTCAACTGATATAACCTTCGATTGTATTCAAGTAAGTGGTAATGAAACAAGAACTGGCAACTATGTTAACGCTGATAATACGCCTCATAGATGAGTACGATAAGCTATAGGTTGAAACGCAAAATTATAGCAGCTACATGTAACGATTCTGCCTAAGTAATTGATCTTTCATAATTTGGTGGCCCTGAAAAGGGCCGTTTTTTGGTGATACCCGAAGGCATATATGTGTGGTGGAGAAATTACTTGGAGGAAGTGTACTTGGTGACAGCTTTGGTTCCCTCAGACACGGCGTGTTTGGCCAGCTCACCAGGGAGCAGAAGCCTGACGGCGGTCTGAACCTCCCGAGAGGTGATGGTCGATCTCTTGTTGTAGTGCGAGAGACGGGAGGCCTCGGCAGCGATTCTCTCGAAAATGTCGTTTACGAATGAGTTCATAATCGACATGGCCTTCGACGAGATACCAGTGTCGGGGTGGACTTGCTTAAGGACCTTGTAAATGTAGATAGAAAAGGACTCCTTCCTTCTACGCTTCTTCTTTTTTTTGTCCGTAGCACGGACGTTCTTCTGGGCCTTCCCGGCCTTCTTAACAGCCTTTCCGGACGGTGCAGGCGGCATAACTTCGGTAATGAAACCAAGTAATTCACCTTGAGTTGATGCCTACTATTTATTGCCAGCTCGCAGTGCCATTTTGGCGCCATATCATGAGCACTCTCCCAATAAGAGAGGAGGTAGTCTCCAGTCGGAGCCCACTCTAAATGTATATATAGCCATTACTCTACAGCAAAACTGCTACTTGTTTATTCGTAACTGAACGTCATCATGTCTGGTCGCGGAAAGGGAGGAAAGTCAAAAACGAAGGCTAAGACCAGGTCTTCGCGGGCAGGACTTCAGTTCCCCGTCGGTCGTACCGGATTCGTTCTCAACAAGCTGAAAAAACAGAGTGCCGCTTCTACTTGCGGTGCTCTTATTTATAGCCAGCAAAAGCACTATATGTGCTGGCGCTGCAATCGCTAACTGTAGACACTCAATGGCGCCAATCATGAGCATCAATAGCTTGCCTTCCTCTTCTAAGGGCTCCAAGTGTCTGTTGTTTAAAAAAGTGCTAGAATCGAGGAGAGCATTTATTCAGTTCTAAAATCATCACCATTAGGTTTTTAGAATGTATTGGTGTATATGGATTCAACAGGTGGATTCCATTGGTCGGGAGATTTAGAGCAATGAGCTCATTTAATTGCATGCTTACTGTGAATCTATGTGCTACAAAAAATATAGGTAGGCAGAGGAACGTAAAACTGTGTTTTCGTGACAGTCTTAGGACTTTTTATCCTCTGTGTAACGATTAAAACTATATCAGTAGTAATAGATCGGAAAATGAAGGTTGCATGACGTATGTCTACTGAAACCTGTGTAAAATTATCTTTTCATGTCAAATCATAAAAATGCATGCACAGATCATATAAAAATTAATTAATGTTTGTTTTAAATTACATTTTCTATCGGACCTTCAGGTTAATTGCCATAGTCAATATAAACTATCAGGTGAATATGATCGGATGTTTCTTTCAGCGGCGTCCCGCTAGAGGGCGTTGCCCATTTATCGAACTCCCCTTTCCTAAACGCTATATAAGTCCAAAACCGAGCTCTGTCTTCAACATTTGCTGTTAACAGACAGTCAAAAATGGCGCGTACTAAGCAGACCGCTCGTAAGTCCACTGGCGGAAAGGCCCCCCGTAAGCAGCTGGCCACTAAGGCTGCCCGTAAATCGGCTCCAGCTACAGGCGGTGTAAAAAAACCCCATCGTTACAGGCCTGGTACCGTCGCTCTCCGTGAGATCCGTCGTTACCAGAAATCGACTGAGCTTCTCATTCGCAAGCTGCCCTTCCAACGTCTTGTGCGCGAGATCGCTCAGGATTTCAAAACCGATCTGCGTTTCCAGAGCTCGGCGGTCATGGCTCTTCAGGAGGCGTCCGAGGCTTATCTGGTCGGTCTCTTTGAGGACACCAATCTATGCGCCATCCATGCCAAACGTGTCACCATTATGCCTAAGGACATCCAACTGGCTCGTCGTATTCGCGGAGAGCGCGCTTAAGTTACTGGAATCTTTACTTGAGTAAGAAAAAAACGGCCCTTTTCAGGGCCACCAACATCCAGAAGATCATGCACTTTACTGTGCATTCTCAAATAATTAAATATACTTTTGCAGACCATTTACATATTAAGTAACTGGTAGTTTATAGATGAGTGATGGATATGTCTGCTCAATATATTGCGGGCAAATTTCCAATCCACCGCAAGGCGTCATCAATATTAAAGCTGCTTAATTTGAATGAAATAGTGTTTTGGAAAAAATGACAGCGATTCTCTCGAAAATGTCGTTTACGAATGAGTTCATAATCGACATGGCCTTCGACGAGATACCAGTGTCGGGGTGGACTTGCTTAAGGACCTTGTAAATGTAGATAGAAAAGGACTCCTTCCTTCTACGCTTCTTCTTTTTTTTGTCCGTAGCACGGACGTTCTTCTGGGCCTTCCCGGCCTTCTTAACAGCCTTTCCGGACGGTGCAGGCGGCATAACTTCGGTAATGAAACCAAGTAATTCACCTTGAGTTGATGCCTACTATTTATTGCCAGCTCGCAGTGCCATTTTGGCGCCATATCATGAGCACTCTCCCAATAAGAGAGGAGGTAGTCTCCAGTCGGAGCCCACTCTAAATGTATATATAGCCATTACTCTACAGCAAAACTGCTACTTGTTTATTCGTAACTGAACGTCATCATGTCTGGTCGCGGAAAGGGAGGAAAGTCAAAAACGAAGGCTAAGACCAGGTCTTCGCGGGCAGGACTTCAGTTCCCCGTCGGTCGTATCCATCGTCTGCTTCGCAAGGGCAACTATGCTGAGCGAGTTGGAGCGGGCGCCCCTGTGTACCTAGCTGCCGTTCTTGAGTACCTTGCTGCTGAGGTCCTTGAGTTGGCCGGTAACGCTGCTCGTGACAACAAAAAGACTAGGATTATCCCCCGTCACCTTCAGTTAGCTATCCGTAACGACGAGGAGTTGAACAAGCTTCTTTCAGGAGTGACCATTGCCCAGGGTGGCGTCCTACCCAATATCCAGGCTGTCCTCCTCCCCAAGAAGACCGAGAAGGCCCAGGCCTAAATTACTCGCCGTCATTGAAAAAACGGCCCTTTTCAGGGCCACCATATATTAAGGGATCAAACGCTGAAAACAATTTTAAATGTATTTTTAATATATACATATATATGCAGTCGAATCTAGGCTCGATTAAAAAAACGATTAGGAATTTTCGGTGATCTATACATCTATTAAAAGCGTACGTTTGCCCACGCACAGATATAAAAGCCTTAGAAGGGAAAGTCTCGATTTCAGCGGGCAAATGTTTATTCTTTTGATTGTGTCAGAAAATTTTTGGCGCGGAACACGTAACTCACTGTTGTTGAGTTGGCCACAGAAGCTGTACTTTTCAACAGTGTTTGCACTCTAATTTAGGACAATAAGAAGGGTATGCTTTGACTTTCATAATGTTTTTTGATTCCGCTACAGCTATTGTTTAACACTAAACCGACTACTAGCGGTTAATTTGATCGTCCGCAATTTTTTTCACTAGTTTATGTATTTAAATATTATCGCATCGCCATCGAAGATCCACGTTTAATTAC